CACATCTGTACAGGATAGTCTCACAGCCTTGCAGGCCCAGCTCCCGGAAGGCTCTGAGAGAATGTAATCTTTGCTCTTCTCTCCACGGAGCAGGTGTGCATTGACCAACGCTGCCAGCCTGTGGATCTCCTGGGAGCACAGGAGTGTCGAAGCAAATGCCATGGCCATGGGGTGAGCCGCTATGGAGGCCTCGCAAGGGGAAAGGGGGCCTGTTGATGGGAAAAGGGATCTTGGGAGCAGATGCACCTTGGTTTCAGTCCTTGCCACTTCCTAGGGCATGTCATTAACCTTTCTGAAGTGTTTCCTCATTCAAGTGGACATAATCATGGTACCCATATCCTAGAGGGCATGAAATGGGTGTAGATGCTGTTGACAAGTGACCACCATGCTAAAGGTATTAGCTTGCTGTCACTTCCCCTGGCATGGATGAAGACTTGCTCTCTCCAGGACTGTCTGTCTACCCATTAGCCACAGCATTCCTGTCAGTCTGAGAAGTCTAAGCTCTTGAAAAGCTAGATACAGGCTGCTGGGGTATACTACAGGCTGCTGGGGTGTACTACAGGCTGCTGGGGTGGTGTACTACAGGATGCTGGGGTGGTGTACTACAGGCTGCTGTGATGGTGTACTACAGGCTGCTGTGATGGTTACTACAGGCTGCTGCTGTGGTGTACTACAGGCTGCTGGGGTGGTGTACTACAGGCTGCTGTGGTGTACTACAGGCTGCTGGGGTGATGTACTACAGGCTGCTGGGGTGATGTACTACAGGCTGCTGGGGTATACTACAGGCTGCTGGGGTGGTGTACTACAGGCTGCTGGGGTGTACTACAGGCTGCTGGGGTGGTGTACTACAGGCTGCTGGGGTGGTGTACTACAGGCTGCTGTGGTGGTGTACTACAGGCTGCTGTGGTGGTGTACTACAGGCTGCTGGGGTGTACTACAGGCTGCTGGGGTGATGTACTACAGGCTGCTGGGGTATACTACAGGCTGCTGGGGTGTACTACAGGATGCTGGGGTGTACTACAGGCTGCTGTGGTGTACTACAGCCTGCTGTGATGGTGTACTACAGGCTGCTGGGGTGGTGTACTACAGGCTGCTGGGGTATACTACAGGCTGCTGGGGTGTACTACAGGATGCTGGGGTGGTGTACTACAGGATGCTGGGGTGTACTACAAGCTGCTGGGGTGGTGTACTACAGGCTGCTGGGGTGTACTACAGGATGCTGGGGTGGTGTACTACAGGATGCTGGGGTATACTACAGGCTGCTGTGGTGTACTGCAGGCTGCTGGGGTGTACTACAGGATGCTGGGGTGGTGTACTACAGGCTGCTGCTGTGGTGTACTACAGGCTGCTGCTGTGGTGTACTACAGGCTGCTGTGATGGTGTACTACAGGATGCTGGGGTGGTGTACTACAGGCTGCTGTGGTGTACTACAAGCTGCTGTGGTGGTGTACTGCAGGCTGCTGTGGTGTACTGCAGGCTGCTGTGGTGTACTACAGGCTGCTGTGGTGTACTACAGCCTGCTGGGGTGTACTACAGGCTGCTGTGGTGGTGTGCTACAGGCTGCTGTGGTGGTGTGCTACAGGCTGCTGGGGTGGTGTACTACAGGCTGCTGGGGTGTACTGCAGGCTGCTGTGATGGTGTACTACAGGCTGCTGGGGTGTACTACAGGCTGCTGGGGTGTACTACAGGCTGCTGGGGTGTACTGCAGGCTGCTGTGATGATGTACTACAGGCTGCTGGGGTGTACTGCAGGCTGCTGTGGGGGTGTACTACAGGCTGCTGGGGTGTGCTACAGGATGCTGGGGTGTACTACAAGCTGCTGTGGTGGTGTGCTACAGGCTGCTGTGGTGTACTACAGGCTGCTGTGGTGGTGTACTACAGGCTGCTGTGGTGGTGTACTACAGGCTGCTGTGGGGGTGTACTACAGGCTGCTGGGGTGTACTACAGGCTGCTGGGGTGGTGTGCTACAGGCTGCTGTGGTGGTGTGCTACAGGCTGCTGTGGTGTACTACAGGCTGCTGTGGGGGTGTACTACAGGCTGCTGGGGTGTACTACAGGCTGCTGTGGTGTACTACAGGCTGCTGTGGGGGTGTACTACAGGCTGCTCGGGTGGTGTACTACAGGCTGCTGGGGTGTACTCCAGGCAGATGCTGGGGTGTACTACAGGGCAATGGTCCCATCTCACAGATGTCTTCGTTGCTGTGCTTTGTCCCCAGGTCTGTGACAGCGGCAGGCACTGCCACTGTGAGGAGGGCTGGGCACCTCCTGACTGCATGACTCAGCTCAGAGGTAGCTAGGAGATGGGCCCAGTGCATTGGGGGGTGAAACAGCTGCACCCATTTCCTCTCTCTTTGGTCCTCTTCCTTGACTCTGTGACCCCTGACGCTGTCTTTGGTCTCTGAGCACTTCACCGGCTCCCTGCCCTTGCTCCTCTCTCGGTGGAGAGTCCTTGGCCACACCCGTCCTCAGTGCTGACCTCTTTCCATAGCAACCAGCTCCCTGACCACGGGCCTGCTCCTCAGCCTCCTGTTGTTATTGGTCCTAGTCCTCCTTGGTGCCAGCTACTGGCACCGTGCCCGCCTGCATCAGCGACTCTGCCAGCTCAAGGGATCCAGCTGCCAATACAGGTATGAACATCCCTTCCCTGCTGTTATTTATTTCCTTCAGTTAGGGACAGTTCTGAAGCCCCTGCTTGTAAAGGCCCAAGCCATGCAGTCCTTACCCCCTACGTCTGAATCCCAAACTCTCAGACCCTGCGTTTTCTGATCATCCTATACACCTGTCTACCATGTCTACATGTATACCTTAACTTCACTCACAGGTGTCCCCCGGGTGCTAGGGCCGCTTCACTCAGGACCCCAAGGCAGGGGAAAGGTAGCCTTTTGCAAGGCTGTTCAACCACACCCCTGGCCTAAACCACACACAGAGCTACCTTCCAAGGACTCACGGGTTAATTTCTCCCAGACCAGCAGGTCCCATTCTCTCTTTGGCTTTCTTTATACTCAGGGCAGCCCAACCAAATCCTCCGGAAAGGCCAGGACCTCCACGGAGGGCACAGCAGATGCCAGGCACTAAGGTAAGCCCTGAATGCCAGAGCAAGCAGAGTCACATTACATGGTACCTGCCACGGGCCCAGAGGTGGCACTAGAATTTCAAGAGGAGTGCTCAGTCAGTCCAAGGAGTCAGGACCAGCAGCAGGCAGAGAAACGGCCAGGGTACAGCAAGATGGCCGGGCCAGTCTCCTGCAGAGCTCTTTCTGCTGGCCAAATCGGTAGCTTGGAGAGGTGGTTCTATCGGTATCCATCGGCGACCAGTACCATGGGGTAGTGGGGTGGTGTGCAAAGGGCCTCCTGTGTGTTGAGAGCTGACAAGGCCCAGGACATCATGTGTGAAGGATGCCCAGTGCCCAGGGCCTGAGCCCTGCACCTTCAATGGCAGGAGTCAGCCTGCACGCCCCTGCACCTCTCGCCACTCCCCTGCATGCGGCTGAGTAAGCTCCCCTGCCTCTGGGCCTCTGCTGCCCTTGTCTGAACACTAACCCCTTTCTGCCCACATCTGTCTGTCTCTCCTGCCCACTCTGCCTGTCTGCCCCTCCCGCCCTCTCAGCCAGCTAGTGTGTGCAACTTTCCGGCGCCCCCCTCCAGGCCGCTGCCACCTAACCCTGTGCCCAAGAAACTCCAGGTAAATCTGGGTTGGGCCTTGCCCTGGCTCAGGACAGGTGGGAGGCTAGGTGCCCAATCCCAGTTCTCACCCCTGCTTCCCCCCAGTGGTGTTCTTCATTAGGAGACCAGGGTGCCCCCTCAGCCTTCAAAGTCCCAGACACAGCCAAGGGTGAGCCTCCTGCCGTGGTCTCGGCTACCACCTGGTGGTCAGTAGTAGGACTACAGCCACTCATGATTGAGCCGCACCTTCCTTTCCTGTCTATTGGCAAGCATTCAAAGCCCCCTGTGCATGCTCCGCAGTGCCCTTGACCCCGGCTGGCTGCACGCTGCCCCCGGGGGAGCCTCTGCATGCTCACCACCTTTGGCTGCGCCTTCAGAGCCACCACTCCTGTCTCTGTTCAGGCTGAGCTGGCTGACTGGTCCACTCCCCCCACTCGCCCTCTGCCTGCTGACCCTGTGGTGAGGCACCCAAAGGTAACAGTGAGGGGAAAGCAAGGTACTGCCTCTCCCACCCAGAGCCGTGGTGGCAAGATGCCTCCCCCTATGCCTGAGGGCATGCAACCCAGTGTCACCTCAGGGAGTGACAGATTTGTTTGGAGACAAAGGTGACCATCAGCACTGCTCCTTGAACCCCTCCATTGAGGGCAGGGACCAACCATGACACTCTCCTACACTGGCCTTCTTCCTTAGTCTCAGGGGCCTACCAAACCCCCACCTCCAAGAAAGCCACTGCCCGCCAACCCACAGGGCCGGCAGCCATCAGGTGACCCGCCGGTCCCAGGAGATGGAAGCATGCAGCTGGTGGTGCCCTCCAGGTGGGTGAGGAATGTGTTTCTGGGGATCAGTGGGCGTCTTGCTGCCAGTGAGGCACCTAGGGCCAGAGTTGTGACTTTTTCTCTTGACTTGCTAAACTCCAGGCCAGCTCCTCCACCCCCAGCCGTATCCTCGCTCTACCTCTGACCTCTCTGGAGGTTTGGTTGCCTCCTGCCCAGGCTTAAGGCTTAAAGAAGTGAGCTCTCTGTTGGACCCCCGCACCCCAGGGACTAGAAGAGCAGGAGCCTAGAAATGCAGTGTCAAGCCCTAAGGAGCCACAACATCAGACGCTGCACTCGGCTGTTGGGGAGGGGCTGGGGTTGGAGTGGGTGGTGGAGGGACAAGCCCACAGTCTGTATCTGCTCTTTTGTAATAAATGTGAGGTCTTGGAATGTGGCTCCTGGAAGGTCTTGGAATGTGGCTCCTCCAAGCTGGGTAGTTCTGCTGTGTTTCCAGATGTGGCCACTAGGAGATGCTGCTAGGTCAGACCAGGACCTGTTGGGGAGGATGGCATCCCAGAAAGGGTCAACTAGAATTTGTCACTGGGGATACCTGCACCTTGCTTCTGCCCAGTCTAGGATGGATGGCCTCTAGTCTCCAAGTTCCCTGCCAGTGCTGTTCGGCCCCCACCGCAGCTATGGACACATGACCCGAGTCGCCAGACCTGCATCCCCACCCTCTGACCAGTGGCTGGGAAAATGGATCTAACTGGCTTTCTCAGAGCCTTGAGCCTGGGCGGAGCAGGGCAGCAAATGCTTGGATTCCAAGGCTTCACACCTGCCTTCTCCACCTCCCTGCCCCCACCTGAAGGCTCTAGAACAAAGGTGCTTTGTGCTTTGTACAGATTGCTACTACCTCATCACTTGGTCCTCAGGACTGAGGCCTCCTGGGAGAGAGAAGGTGTGGGACCGCAAAGCGGTCACCTGGTGTAACACCCCAGGCTCTATAGGATTGGGGGTGTCCCCAGAAGCACCTCATACCTTCCTCTGGTACTCTTGCAGCATTGTCTGGATGTGGAAAAAAAAACCACAATGCATGGAAGGTAGTTCTGTTTCAGCCTCCAAAAATACCTGGGGCTTCAGGTGCTGGCCATTGTGTGTGTGTGTGTGTGTATATGTGTGTGTGCGCGTGCGCGTGCACGAATTATCTTGTGTAGCTCAAGCCGGCTGGAACTCTGGGTTCTCCCAGTGCTGAGACTGTGGATGGAATTGCAAACGCAGTCCAGCTCTGGCCTCCCAGGCTTCAATAAGGCTTTATACCTTGAACTAACGCAGACACAAACGATCTGAAAAAAAAACAAAACTCAACCCTCTTCGGAGGTAATGCATGAGTGCATGGCTGTGATCCCAGCACTGGGGAGGATGGGGCAGGAGGATTATTGCCAGTTTGAGTCCATCTTGAGTTATAAATTCCGGGCTAGCCAGGCTTTAGGGTTAAGACCCTGTTTCCAACAAAGCGCAATGTGGGATTGGAGAACTCAGCCAGCCTTGGTAAAGTGCTTACCTGAGTTAAGACCCCCAGCACGCATGTAAAAAGCCCGCAGGTGTAGTGGTTAGCTTCTGTAACCCAACCGCGTGTGGGAGAGGACGGGGTGGGGCAAGGAAACAGGAGGATCCCCCAGCCCCAGGACTGCAAGCCTAGCCAATTAGCGAGCTCCGTGTTCAGTGAGACCCTGTCTCAAAAGAATAAGGTGGAAAGGGACAGAAGTGAGACCTCCGCCCCATGGCAACTGGCACGAGCACATACACACACACATAACACAGAAACCAAAGACCTTGAAACAAAACTCCTTAGTGGAATAGGTCCCTCTGCACAGTGAGATACAAAGGAAGCTTTGGCTAACCTGTAGCGCACAGGAACGCACAAAGGGTTAACAGGAGTTGGCCCTGGGTGGAGAGGCGGAGACGAGTTTTCATTGGTGGAAAGTTATCCAGGGGCGTGGTCTAAGAGTCTCCACACCCCACCTCCTTTCCGTACCCCCCCCCTCCCCTCCCCTCCACTTTTGTACCTTTCTCGCCGGGACAGAGAAGCGGGCCGGGACCAGCCGGGCCAGACTAGACTGGACCCCGGGGGCGATGCGGCTGCTGCCCCTGCTGCGGACTGTCCTCTGGGCCGCGCTGCTCGGCTCGCGCCTCCGGGGGTGCTCCAGCCTCCGCCACCCTGTCTACTGGAACTCCACTAACCCCAGGTAGCCCGGCCGAACGATGCGAGCGCCAAGCTGGGCCCGCGCGCTTCTAAGCTGTGCGCGCGCCCGCCACTCGCCTTTTCCAAGGCGCTGTCTGAGCCCTGCCCAGCCGCGCGCCGGGGCTCCTTTGTTTGAGCCGGCGGGGGGAGGGGCGAGGCGTGCCCAGGGTCCCCCCGCCCGAACGTGTTGGGGGGCGGGCGGAGGACCCTAGTCCTGAGGGTGATCGGATAGAGTCGAAAAGCGGTGAGCTGGGGGCCAGGGCCCGTATTCCGGGCCCCGCCCCCCTTTTCGGGAGCCCCAACCTCCGGCGGGCAGGAGCTGGGGCGGACCGCTGAGAACCCGGGAGGGGTCTTTACCCTTGTGTAAGAACCTTGAGTTCCTCTCTGGTTCTCAGGTCCCCTCGGCCCCTGATTTCGATTGATATCTCTGCTTCCATCTTGATCTTATTTCTGTCCAATCCTAGCCCTGCCCCTCCAGTTGATTCACCTGTGGGCCAGTCATTTGACCTTGCTAACCTCAGTTATGTCATCTACAAAATGGGCTAATAATACCTAGTACCCTGGGAAGCAAGCGGACGGACTGAGGTCAGGCTTGTGAAACGCAGGACAGCCGTACAGATTTAAATGCGTCCTTCTTCCTCTCTGCTGAGCTGGCTGCCTTTGAACCTCGGCATTTTATGCTGTTTGCATCCTGCCTTCCATTTCTCCCTGCCTTTCTGCCTTCCCATCTGTTTTCCTTTCTGATTTTCTGCTTCAGACAATCTGTGGCTCTGTTCATTTATTCACTAACGTTTGATAAGCACACACCGAGTGTCAAGACTAGTGCCGATCTGCTGGGCATTGCCAATAAGAGAGGCGGAGACACAGCCCTGTGGGAGGCCAAAGACCCCGGGAGGGCAGGTCTATGATAGTCATTCCAGGAGCAGGGCTGGATGATAAGAACTATTGTCAGCCTGAACTCTGGCTTCTTCTATCTCAGCCCCCAGCCCTTGAGTCTCTGGTTCATTCTCCAGGTCCACAAGTATTTATGAGGCTCTGGCGTTGCAGGGTGCTTTTCCACACCCAGTGCCATGAAACAGACAAAGAGCCTATCTTCCTCAGCTTGTCTCCTAGTGGTCTGAGCTAAGCCCAGGAACCCTTCTAATTAAGAGTTCCTACAGCAGGTGGTTCCCGCTCCCCACTGAAGAACGGTTAGAGGCCTTAAATGCTTTACTACGTGCGTGGTGTTGGAGGTAGGACTCGGTGCTGTGGGGTGGCCTGTCCCAGGACTCCTCTGCTGTCCCGGCTCCCCCAGGCTGCCGCTGAGAGATGAGGAAGAGGAACCCGATTGTGTGTGTGTGGTGGTGGTGTTCCCTTTATACCTAGCATTTACCTGTCTGGTCAGAAAAGGAAGCTGGACTGTGTGTGGTAGCACATGCCTGTAATCCCAGGCTTGAGATGGCACGTGGGGCTCACAGCCTCCCTAACTGCAGCTCCAGAGCTGCCGCCGCCTCTGGCTTCCTCCGCAGCCTGTGCTCACACGCACATAACCATACACACACGTAACTAAAAATTATTATTAAATAATAATGAAGACTGAGAGGAGGCGGGAGGATCATGAGTTCAAGGCCAGCTTAGGCCACACAGTGAACTCCTAAAAAGAAAAAAGAGCCCATTTCACTACTCATTCTCATTTTCTTTCTTTCTTTCTCTCTCTCTCTCTCTCTCTCTCTCTCTCTCTCTCTCTCTCTCTCTCTCTCTCTCTCTCTCTCTGAGACAGGGTTTCTCTGTGTAACAGCCTTGGCTGTCCTGGAACTCACTCTGTATACCAGGCTGGCCTTGAACTCACAGAGATCCGCCTGCCTCTGCCTCCCGAGTGCACTGCCATCGCCCGGCTAACTCATTCTCCTCTTACCATCCCCGTTTCTCCCTGTGTGTGGTACTGAAGACCCTAAGAGCTCCAACTTCATCTCTCAAACTGTTCTGTGGGCATGTATGTGTCCCGGTGCCTTGGCCTCCTGGCGGGATTCATCCTTTTAGCATTTATCAGGCACAGATGGTAGGCCAGGCCCCATGTGGGGCAATGGCTGCAGGGACTGTGTCCTGAAAGATAGGGAGAATGATGGCCTCCTCACCAACAGGGAAGCCTTAGGGGCTGGGCACTGCAGCCCCTGGACCTCCTCCCTAAAACTGACTTGATTTATTACCCATACAGCGTCTCTCAGGAAGGTATTCAGTCTAGGAATTGGCACAGGCCTGTAATCTCAACTACTGAAAAGGAGTGAGTTCAAGGCCAGCCTGGGCAGCTTAGCAAGACCCTGTTCCAAACAGAAAAGTTAAAAGGCTAGTTATAGCTCAGTAGTAGAGCACTTAGCACGGGGCCTTAGATTCTGTCCCAGCTACCGGAAAAAAAGGGAGGAAAAAAATCTGAGAAGGGCTGGGTCATTCTTGGAAGCGCAGGCATTCCTGAGCTATCCCACCTCTAGTGGGTGTGAGGCTGTCTCAACTGTGCAGAGCTGTAACCTTCAGCCTACACTCCCTTGCACCCACAGGCTGCTTCGAGGGGATGCCGTGGTGGAGCTGGGCCTCAACGATTACCTAGACATCTTCTGCCCACATTACGAAAGCCCGGGGCCCCCGGAGGGACCCGAAACCTTTGCCTTATACATGGTGGACTGGTCAGGGTATGAGGCCTGCAAAGCAGAGGGGGCAAACGCCTTCCAGCGATGGAAGTGCGCACTGCCTTTCGCCCCTTTCGGCCCTGTTCGGTTCTCAGAAAAGATCCAGCGCTTCACACCCTTCTCCCTGGGCTTCGAGTTCTTGCCTGGAGAGACTTACTACTACATCTGTGAGTGAGCGGGCACTGCATGCCTCCTGGGGGTCGTGAGGGGAGGAACGGGCTCTTTGCCTTTGCTTTGTGTCAAGGGAGGAGGAAGGAAAGGCTGTGGGAAAGGCAGCTGTTGCTCCTAAGGCTCAGGGGTTTGGTTGGGTTGAACCTGTGTGGACAAGAGTGTGTGGAAGCCAACAAGGAGGCCGAGGGAGGTTCGAGAAGCATGGATGAGCTGGTACTTGGTGTGACTCCCCAAAGGTAAGCCAAGAAGGCCTGAGACAGTCGAGTCCAAGGGATGGTTTTCTGTGTTAACTTCTCCCTCCTAATTCCCGTCAGCGGTGCCCACTCCGGAGAGTTCTGGCCGGTGCTTGAGACTCCAGGTGTCTGTCTGCTGCAAGGAGAGCAGTAAGTGGGCCAGGGTCTCACAAGCGGAACCCTTCCAGCCAGTCCGGGGCCCTCGGGAGGAGAGGAGTCGGGGAAACACGAGCATCAGACCTAAGGCGTCCAGGCTAGGTGTCAAGCACAGCTTCTTCTCCCATAAGTCATCCCCATCCGAGCTTCCACCACACCCTTTTTAAAGCTGGGCACCTTGCCAAGGGGCAAGGTCTTTCAAAGCTTTAACTGGGCTGGAAGACTATTGATTGGGAAGATTTGGACTTGGGCTTTGGGAAGGATGAGGGTAATCGGGCTTTGGGAAGGATGAGGGTTATTGGGGTTTGGGAATGATAACGGTTATCGGGTTTGGGAAGGATGAGGGTAATTGGGCTTTGGGAAGGATGAGGGTTATCGGGGTTTGGGAAGGATGAGGGTTATCAGGTTTGGGAAGGATGAGGGTTATCGGGGAAGGCAGTGACTGCTCTGGGAGACCCTTGAGAATGAAAACAGAATGAGAAGGGCAGGGAGGAGGCTGCTGAGGAGGCGGGCAGACCCAGCAGTACCTTCCCTTCTTCACAGGGTCCGAGTCTGCCCACCCTGTTGGGAGCCCTGAAGACGGTGGCACATCCGGGTGGCGGGGAGAACATGCTCCCAGCCCCCTGTGTCTCTTGCTGCTGCTGCTGCTCCCAATACTTCGTCTCCTTCGAGTTCTGTGAGCCAAGTACACCTTCCCTTCACCCCAAGGAACCAGCGCCCTCCCCCAGCTCCTCTGTTGAAGGGGTTCCTGCCAGCATTCCGTGATGCCACACCAGGCAGACGCGATGAAGCTTTGATGTAGGAAGTCAGAGCATCTGAGGTGACCCTTGTGGGTGACTGCCCCCTCACCACAGGCTGAAGAGGAACTGTGAGGGAACAGCAGACAGCCCAGGACACCCTGGAGCACAGCTGCTTTGATGGTCTTGTCTCCTCCCCCCAGAAGATTGGGTGGGATCAAATCCTTGAGCCACTGGGGGCCAGAGCCAAAGACCTGGGGACAGGTGGATTCCTGGCCAAGAGCAAAGGAGAAGCCATGCCATCTGTGCCCTCTAGGACTCTCCCCAGGGGCAACTGTTGCCCTCCCAGGGGGCCATTCGCTTGTCTTCTGTGAAGACGGACTTGCCATGAGGTTGAATTTCATGCTGGTTTGTATTTTTGTAAGTGTTTGGACCAAACCTTCAATAAATCACCCATTCTCATGGGACGTGGTAGCTCACACTTGTAATCCCAGCACTGGGGGGTGGGGGTGGTGAGCAGGAAGTCAGCCTGGGAATAGGAGACCCTGTCTCAAAAAAAGAAAAATAAATGGAGGCCAGTGGGAAGGCTCAGCGAGTTAAAGCACTTGCCATAAAGCCTTGACCACCAGAGTTCAGTCCTTGGAACCCACATGGTGGAAAGAAAGAACAGATTCCTGGAAGCTGTCCTTTTAACATGCCACATGGCATGTCAATGAACATGCCACATGAAAATGCACACATGCACACACATGAATAATAAACGTATGGTAAAAACCACCCATCTTTGTGGTACCCTCCCTTCTGGTCCCTTCCCTGACACCTGAACTCCCTGGGGCCTCAGCTCTTAGCTTGACTTGGCCTGACCTCCATGCCAGCTGTGCCCAGGCCATGCATGCCAGACACCAGTGGGCACCCTTCTGGGCAGTTTGGGATAGATGCCAGCAGCAGCTGTGGAGCTTGGCACCCTCTCCCACCTCCCCAGCCATCTTCCTGTGCTAGGTGGCAGATGCTGCCGACAGCCCACTCTGGCAGTGCCTGCTCCGGGTGCTGGAGTAAAACCCAGGGGAAACAGAAAAGCACCCGGGTTTCAGAATGCGGCGTCCCAGGGAGGCTGGAGGCCCTCCCCCTCCCCAAGGGCACTCTGGGCGGTGCCTGGCCTAGAACTGGGAAGGTGGGGTCAGATCAAAGCCTCCTTCCCCAGCGGCCTCTTTGTTCTGAGCTTTTATAAGGAGAAGGAGGTGGGGCTGCAGGAGAGAGGGCTCCTTCAGCCCTTAGTCCGATACTGGCACTTCCTCTCTCGGATAAGACTGACACCCCCTAAGCCCGAAAGGTTCCTCCTTCTGAACTGTGCCCCAGGTGGGAGCAAGGGAGGGAACACCCCTTCCCCTGGACCTGCGTTCCGCCCTCCCTGGTGCCCCGCAGGCTCCTCTGGCTAGGTGCCCGCCTGCCTGGCATGGAGCCAGCCATCGGTAGGTGGATGCTGTGCTGATTAGCCCGACCCGGCTGCGGCAGCGAGAGGCAGCGTGTGAACATTACGGGGCGTGGGTTTGAGAGGCAGGCCCCAGATGCTGGGGATGGCGAAGCCCTCCCTGTCTCCTTGCACACATAGGTCAGACCGGTTCCTCTCTCTAAGGGAATGGAATCCGTCAATTACGCTTTTTGGCCCTCACAGTTCGTGGTAATTCTGTGGCCCTGCTGAAGGCCGAGAGTTAAGGAGAGTGGGGGCAGGCAGAGCAGATTTTGAGTTACTAATCTCTTCATTCGAGGCCGGTTGCAGAAAATGCCGCGTTACCGGTGTATGGGTGAAGGTCCTGACCCTAAACGTTGATGATCTTTAGCAGTTAAAAAGATGTTTATGTGTGGAAGACAAGGCGGACCAAGAACTGTGGGAGGAGCTGTGGGCTGAGTCTTTTGGTCCAGCGTTGGAGTTCCATCGCTGCCATCTTCCTGGAGGGCGTCTATGTGTTGCCATGGAGACAAAAGATACAGTTACCTCGGTCCCTCGTCAGAGAAATTATAAGCACAAGAGAAATCAAGTCCAGAGCAACTGTTTAGCGGCCCCTGCCTTGGATACAGAAATATGAGGTTCTTATCAGCCCCCCCAGCCCCCGTTTCATATTCCTCCTCGCGGACCCAGCAGAGTTCTGGCTGGCAGCGCCAGTGTGCAAAAGGGACTGGGACTTAGTCGGCTTTTCTCGAGTTCAGACGCATGGTCTCAGTCTCAGACTGCGCTTGACACAGACTTGTGCATTTGCAAACAGCCCAGGCCTTTGCAGGTGGGCACACGACATAGACTTCAGAGGGTTGCAAACTAGCGCCCTCAGGCTGTAGGACTTCAGGGCAAGCCAACCCCCCCTCTTTTCTGTTCCCTTCCTCACAGCGTGGGCCCTGCAGCAGGGCCCTTACCGGTCCAAGTACTCCCTGGTGGAAATCTCTAAAGGAGTCTGCTCTTAGGACCAATACTGGCTGAAGGCTTTGGGCGGCCCTCTGCGCCTGGCCCTACCCACGCGAAGTCTTCGCGGTGTGTTCAGGGGCATAGTTCCAAGAGGTTAATCAGGCCTGAAAGTTTGGGGCGTCACCGGTCTCCCCTAAACTCCGCGGCTCTAGACGGCTGAGGGTGGGGCCCTCCGTTTCCTAAACCAACCCTGGTCTCAGCGGTACAGATGCGAAAACTTAACTCTGTCTCCCAGGCTTAAGAGAATCTTTGCCTCGACCCTGCTTCTCACATACTACGTTGCAAATCGCCCTTCAAATCCCGAAGCTGCCATTCTTTTAGGTAGCCACACCAGCTAGGGTCGTCGGGGGATCCCCGCAGTGACGCAGTTGAAAGTGAGCACTCTGGCTTTCGAGTAGCCAATAGAATCCCTGAACCTGGGGCATGAGGTCATCAGTGGCAATCTGCATTGGTTCAGGCCTGGAAACGAAGGTCCCCATAGCAACCGACGGTGCGTCCAAGCATAACCTTGAGAGTGGTCACTGCTCCAGCTGCTGTGATCCATCTTCTGTAGCTGCTTTAAGAATGTGTTGGGAAATGGGCTGAGGAACCTCGAGTGGGTTCAACGTCCCAAGTTCTGTAGCCTTCACCCAACCACGATCTTGTCCTACTCAAAATTCTTTTTTTTTTTTCACTCAAAGCAAAGGTCAGTGCAACTTCACCCAGAAAGTTTAGGTAGGGGTTATTTGCAACAGCCATGGTACCCTGGGTGCAGAGCTACTGCCATGGGGAAAGTCAGTTCTGAGATCCTTGTGTTCATCTGCATATCGTCTGCATCTCATTTGCATTCTGTTCATTTAAGGTCAAATTGGGCAGACATCTCCACCTCCCTATCCCTGTCACTTGTCTGTATCTGCAATCTATCCCTTGGTGGCTCTGTATTCCTCCGCTGTCCAATTCCATGCTCCCCGCCCCTCCTCCCACTCTCCTAAGTCTCGGGGGGGGGGGGAGTGGGGAAGACTAGGAAAGGAGAAAGAACAAGGAGTGTGCCTCGCCTCTAGATGTTGGTGACAGATGGGGAGTGCTGGTCGGCACTGCCTGGAGACTAACTTGGCAAAGCTAGTGGAGGGGAGGTGCCCCGGCTGGGCTGAAGGTCTCCAGGGCCAAATCCCCCACATGCCTGCGAGATGCTGGAACTAGGGAAGCCTGCTTCCAGCAAGGAGCAGGCTTGCCCACCTGTCTGCCGCCAGGACAGCTTCCTGCCCTCAATTAAACACTAATGAGGTGTCATTTAACCCTTACCTTGCCTGCTAGCTATCAGGCATGTGGAGCTGAGATTCATGGTCTCACACTGATAAAAGGGAGGAAAAGACAGCGTCTGAGGAACAGAGGCAGCAAGATGAAGGTGCCTGAACACAGGAGAGGAGGGGCCATGTACAGGGCATCTCTCAAGGGATTCTAAGAACCGTGGCGGTGGTGGCGCATGCCTTTAATCCCAGCACTCGGGAGGCAGAGGCAGGTGGATCTCTGTGAGTTCAAGGCCAGCTAGGTCTATAGAGTGAGTTCTAAGACAGCCTCCAAAGCTACACAGAAGAAACCCTGTCTCGGAAAAAAATGTGGGGGGAGGGGTTGGAGAGATGGCTCAGAGGCTAAGAGCACTGGCTGTTCTTCCAGAGGACCTGAGTTCAATTCCCAGCAACCACATGGTGGCTCACAACCATCTATAATGAGATCTGATGCTCTGGTGCCCTCTCTGGCATGCAAGCATACATGTAGGCAGAACATTGTATAAATAAATAAATAAATTCTTAAAAAAAAAAGAATGGCCGGGCATTGGTGGCGCACGCCTTTAATCCCAGCACTCGGGAGGCAGAGGCAGACGGATCTCTGTGAGTTCGAGGCCAGCCTCCAAAGCCACAGAGAAACCCTGTCTCTAAAAACCAAAAAAAAAAAAAAAAAAAAAAGAATGGTGGCACTGCCCAAATGCATTTTTCTCATGGATTTGCAATTATTTTTTAAATATCTCTGCTAACTAAATACCAGACTGCATTAGGTACTGAGTACACATACTTGCATGAGATAAGAAAGAAGAAGAAATCTTAAGAGACAGACCAGCCATTAAATAAGTATGATGCCAAGTGCAAGCATTAATATAGAGCTACACACAAGTGATTGGGACACAGGGGAGAATGGGCTCTGAGAAGGCTTTGGTTGAAAAGAACAAAATTTATGGCAGGGAGATGGGTAGAATTAATGATGTTTATGTGTTTTGACATAGTAAGGTCCATGTTGAAATGTACTTTGAGGACTGTTGGTATATACCGTTGCATTTTGTTTTTGTCTACATGAATGTGTGTGTGTGAGAGAGAGAGGAGAGAGAGAGAGAGAGAGAGAGAGAGAGAGAGAGAGAGAGAGGAGAGAGAGCAGTATCTTGAGCTCTTCTTCTGAACTCATATTGTGGTTTTATTGCAGATCAATGCTGCGAAGCTCTTGTGCAGATTGGCCTGAACCTGCACAGCCCAGGGGAGAGCAGTAGAGAACTGATGTTGGCTCCTTGGGAAAAGGTGGGCAGACATTATCTTCCCATCAGGGAGCCAGAAACCGAGCTCAGCAGTCTGGTCAAGGGAGACAAGGGGCTGGGCTCCGGGCTGTAGGGTACTACTGGGCATGGTGGGCCACTCAGCCTTTTCCCAAGTGACACGGGTGTTACATCCACCACTCCCCACCAAGTCCCCTCCCCCAGCAGCTCCTCTGTGTAAAAGAGCAGGCCAGCTCAGACCTGTCTGCTGGCTGTCTCCCTGGGGAGCTGATCCTTTCCAGGGGACTGGTGAGGGCTGGGAATGCTAAGGCTTGCTGAAAAGTTACCAGATACTCCACCCAGACTCGACAAGGCTCTCGACGGCCTGGGCTCTCCCCACCCACTCTGGTCTTTGCCCAGGCATAGACTCCATTGCCAGGGATGCCCTTGATGGTTGGGCAGAGGGTGGGGGCCCGAGTTCCGACAGTGGAGATGGGGTCTGGGCAGTGATACCC